CTTAGATCGGCCCGTTGCCCGCGCGGGCTGTGTCGGGCGCTCCCCCGGGGAGGATGGGGGAGGAGAAGGAGAGGGCAGAGGGGTGGAGAGCAGCCAACTCCGCCCATGTTTCGATCGCTCTTCCTCTGATCCTCGTGGGTATGTTCCTCTGATCCTCGTCCGTTTCCCGTATTTCCCCCTGTCTTTGCCTGCCTGCTCCTCCCTGGCTGCCCCTACATCCTCCCTGTCTTTGCTTGCCTGTCTTTGCCTGCCCACTCCTGCCTGCTGCCCCTCCCTGTTCTTGCCTGCGCTGCGCTTTTCCAGGGCAAGCTCAGCTCCTCAGGAAATCACTGCAGGCTTTAACTCGATCGCGTTGGTCCGCCCTCTGCCGATTCTCGGGCCACGATAAGACGATCGGGACAACTTCGACTACCTTTCGATTTCGAGGGGTGACTCCCCGATGCGATACCGTTGCTGTTTCGAAGCCCTCGGCGAGGCCCATGCGAACAACGCTCGAGCGATCTGCGACTGTGGCAGTCCCGCGAACGAACTAAACGACTGCCTCAGGCAGCTCAGCAGACAGGCGGGGGGAGGCGCAGGCTGTAGCCGTGCAGCTTGCGCATTGTGGATTGCCCTACTTTTGCGCAATGCCCCCCAAAGCAGACCCGAGCCTCGGCACGCCGTGACAAAGACAAAGCAGCGGCCTAGATGGCGAACGCGTCTCTCATGGCGTCGGTGCCGAGGAATATGTCCTAGCGTCGATATCGTTATCTTTGCCCCTGCTCTCGCTAGCGACCTTCTCAGGTCCTCATCTTCCCCCTGCCTTCCCCCTCCTCCTCCTCCTCCTCCTCCTCCTCCTCCTCCTCCTCCTCCTCCTCCTCCCCCCCCTCCTCCTCCTCCTCCTCCTCCTCCTCCTCCTCCTCCTCATCATCATCTTGAATGCGCATCGCGTTGCTGCTCGCTCCCGCTCTTATGCGCGTAATCCAGATCTGATGGCCCACTGCCCGCTCTAACCCCAGCGGCAAAAGTGTCCTTCTCGATTGAATTATCCAGCACACCGTGACGTAGCCCAGCACGATGGTGGCACCCTCCTTGCAACGGGAAAGAGGTCGAGGATTGAGGAGCGCGAGGTGGTGGGAGAGGAAGCGGGGGGAAGGGAGGGAGAAGGGAAGAGTGCAATCTCTGCCCAATGGAGGTAGACTGCAGTGCAGCCCCTGCCCAACTGCGTCACCCAATCGGAGCAGACAGGGGTCGACGCAGGTAGACAGGGGTAGACGGGGGTAGACTGAGGTAGACGCCTCCGGGACCCGGTGTTTTACATGTCTACCTTGACCTTGTGTCCGGAGACCCGGTGTTTTACATGTCTACCTCGATGTGGTGTCCGGGGACCCGGTTTTTTATATGTCTACCTTAAGGGGTTGACAGCGGTAGACAGAGGTAGACAGGGGTAGACTGGGTGTCGACCTCGGGACGGGAAGGGCGCGAGATCGACACCCGGACGTTCGGCGCGTTCCAACTCTTAGCCCTTGGGTTGAAAACGGCTCCTTGTAGACGTATCACTGCGGGAAATATGAGTCCCTCGTCGACTTCAGCGCGAGGATACCGTTGACCACGCCCATGACCTCAGGATCCCAGAACCAGATGAGGGATGGAGTGAGGATGAGAGCTCATGGAGGGAGGTGAGAAGGACATGAGACGAGGATGCCAGAGGGAAGAGCTAGTTCGATTGACCCTTATAGATCCCTGTAGCGTTTGCCGCGCTCCGTTTGCCGTCGCGGGAAGAGCCGCAGGGCATGGGGCGACCAGAGGAGGAGGAGGAGCGGGGAGGGGGAGGAGGAGGAGGAGGAGGGAGAAGAGGAGGAGGGTGAGGAGGAGGAGGGGAGAGGAGGATGAGGAGGGGGAGGAGGGGGGGGAAGGCAGGAGACGATCTCCTATGCTGCGCGCGGCAAAGCGTGCGAAGGGCATGAGACATGGTTCTGGGGGCAAAGAGATTCACGAGGGACTCGTCTGATGCTATCCCCTGATCTGATATCCTGCTGCAATGCTGGTCAGTGCGGGAGGTGCGAAGAACATAATCCAGGTGCCTGGTCAGTCACCGTTTCGAGCCTGCTCGCCACCTTGCCAAGCTGCTCAGTGTAGTTCCCTTGGTATAGCTCCTATTGGGATCCCTCTTGGAAGGCTACAAGGCAGCGGTGACGACGACGACGACGACGACGACGACGACGACGACGACGACGACGACGACGACCTGCAGCAGAGCTGCGACGGCATCTGCGCTGACGACGACGACGACGACGACGACGACGACGACGCCGCGACGGCATCTGCGCTGACGACGACGACGACGACGACGACGACGACGGCGACTGCGACGGCGACGGCGACGGCGACGGCGACGACGACGACGACGACGACGGGAGGAGGAGGAAGAAGAGGAGGAGGAGGAGGAGGAGGAGCAGGAGGAGGAGGAGTGGGATGCGCTAGAACGTTTTCCCCCGTGTCTCGCAGGATCGGTCAGGCTCGAGCTCGCCAAGTTAACGGGAGGAGGTAGGGGGGAAGTGAGGAGGAGTGGGGGGAGGAGGAACTAAGCGTCCTTGACAGTGGCAGCGTTCATCGACACAAACATGGCAAGAAAGGTGTCGCCCTGAACAAGCGACTGGGCGGTCTGGATCTTGCTAGTCAGGTCGATCGCCTCGTGGGAATTCTTGAAGCTGGCCCACATCGGAACGGACTCGATCATCTTGGAGATCCCCTGGGCCCCGCTCATAGCCTTGTTGTAGGCGTCGGCCGCTTTCGTGGCGGTCGCGAGCCTGCTAGTGACAGAGACATCGGAGCGAGCGAACGCCTCCCGCCGAACGTGGGTATTCCAGGGAGTTCCAGACAATTTGGGAGGGAGGGCATTTGCAAGATGGGAACCTTTTCTTCTCATCACCAGCGTCTGGCGAATCATCTTGGGCACCCTGGGCGCCTCTCCTCCTTTTGGGGCCAGGGCCGCCAGCGCCGCCAGGGGTCCTCTTAGTGGCCTTCTGACGGCCCCCAGTCTCTCCCTCAGGCCTTGTGCCACTCGCCTTGCCCTCGCCCCCCTCGGCATTGGCCCCCTCGGTCCCCTCGGTCCCCGGGCGCCCAGCCTTGCCTGCAGCATCATTCTTTGCAGCCATATCCTCACCACCCTTTGCAGCCTTCATGAGCACTTCCTCACCGATACTCTGCACAGCAACCTTAGGCTGCTTATCTGGGGTCACGCGCGGCGCTGCAGCTCTCGACGCGGGCGGAGTGACCCGCGCCGCGTCCGCGGTGACAGGTTCCGCGTGGGCGGCCCCACCTTCGGCGCTGGCGCCACTCCCGCTGGCCGCCTCGGGGGGATGGTCCAGGAATGCATTGCCCACCCCGTTTACCCCCTTACCGAACTGAGGGATATCCTGGTCTGAATCTCAGATGCCCCCCGAAGACTAACGTCAACCGCCCAGAATGCGATGACTATATAGGATCAGGGAGGGCGCGCATGCATGTTTGTTCCGAGCTGTGTCCAGCCGCGGCGACGAGGAGCGCCCCCGAAGGTCAAAAAAACAAGAAACGAGGAGGAGGAGGAGGAGGAGGAGGAGGCGGAGGAGGAGGAGGAGGATAGGTAACGGCCTGGGGCCCCTGAACTTCACCAGCAGCAGTCCCTCCAGCGGGCAAGGCGAGAGCACCGTCGGGCAGCGCCTTAATCCTCTTGCCGCGCCTGAGGATCTCCTGTTCCCTCTGCTTCCACGCCTCTTTGAACGTCTCCTCGAACCCACGTTTCATGTAAATAAACTCGCACCTCTTTGTCATGGGGTTGTAGGAAAACCAGCCGATCGATATGCATGCCAAGCAATAATTTATTGCTCCACGTACGGCGTGGACGGACTTCCGCCCGCCCTCCTGCGTGTTGGAGCTACCAGGGGCCGACAAACGACGACGAAGACGACGACGACGACGACGACGACGACGACGACGACGACGACGACGACATGCAGCAGAGCCGCGACGGCATCTGCACAGACGACGGCGGCGACGACGACGACGACGACGACGACGACGACGACACCGACCGACCGACAGATCGACGACGACGACGACGACGAGGAGGATGCTGAACCGTCCGCTGAGATCTAGAGTGCCCCCCCCGTGATCCTCCGCCTCCTCCTCCTCCTCCTCCTCTTCCTACTCCTCCTCGTTTCTTGTTTTTGACATTCGGGGGCGCTCCTCGTCGCCACGGCTGGACGCAGCTCGGAACAAACATCGGTACTCCTCCCCGGGGACTTCTCATCCTCCCAGGGGACTTCTCATCCTCCCTGGGGACTCCCCCCGAGGGCTCCCCCAGCGAGTCATCCCGTTCCTCATCCTCCTCCTCCTCCTCCTCCTCCTCCTCCTCCTCGTGATCCTCCTCCTCCTCCTCCTCCCCCCCTCCTCCTCCTCCTCCTCCCCCATCCTCCCCCTCATCCTCCTTCTCCTCCTCCTCCTCCTCCATCCCCGCACGCCCTCCTCAACATCTTCCTCGCGCTATCCTCGCCTCCTTGATGATGCTGTCCAAGTTCATGAGGGTCCCCCATGACTTGTCCGCGCGGGTGTGCACGGTGCAGTGCTCCTGGACGGCCTCGAGAGGGGGGCGCATGATAGGGTCGAATATCAGGCTTGCAGGGGGCAGACGCGACACCATAATTAATTACTTGGCGTGGGGCGAGTAGACACCAGGCGACAAAAGTGCATGCAAACGCGATGTGCGGAGATACGCGAAAGCAAGGCGGCAAAGAGATCAGAAGCCGAGGGCGCCTTGTACTCGTCGTACTTTCTCTTGCCCCACGTCGCTCGCATCTGCTGCTTCTTCTCATTGTTGGACTTCGAGTAGATGTCGCGCTCGTCCTTCAGCATCTCCCTGGGCGGCGCTGCTGGCCCCTCCCCCTGCCCCCTCCTGCTCCCCCATGACATCGCGTACCCCCTCCACCGTTATACAAGCGTGCCTGTAGTATCGAGCTCCGAGGCTCGACTTGGCCGAACACGTGAAGTTGTTCTTCGCGGCCTCCTCGGGGAGGCGATCCTTCGCCCCTGGGGCCTCGGTCTCGGCGGCACCAGCACCCGACAGCTGCGACAGGGCGCCTTCTGGCACCTGGGGCTGCCGGCACGCAAGTTTGCACGTGCCCCCCCCCCCCCCGCCTACCCCATTTTGATCTCAAAATGACGGGGACCTCTGCGCGAATACCCTCACAGCTCCTGGCCAACAGCCGCTCCGCGCCCGCGAAACCTGAGACGCTGCTGCACGTCTCGCTGGACATCGCCGCGGCCACCAGGGCGTCCACGTTGACAGAATCGGAGACCTCCTTGACATCGCGAGCTTTGGATTGGCCCGCAGCCAGCATCTCGAGAGGGTGCATGCGATCGTCAGGCTCATCGTCCGATAGTTCAATCTCTTTGTGCTTTTCGCGGCCCCCTGAAGGCCGCAGCTGTTTGCTGAACGTAGCGTGCTGCGATTGCTGGGCTGCGGCCTCCATGGTCGGCTGGTCGCCGATCGGGGATGCTGGAGCGGTCTTCTTGGCGGCGAGGAGCGCGGTCTTCTTTGCCTGCTGGGCCACGTGTGAATTCGGAAGAAAAAACTCCCCCTCGTCCTCCTCCTCCTCCTCCTCCTCCTCCTCCTCCCCCATCCTCCCCATCCTCGCCATCCTCGCCATCCTCCCCATCCTCCTCCTCCTCCTCCTCCTCCTCCTCCTCCTCGGGCGGGGTCTCCCTTCGTTTACCCTGCGTCTCGCCATCAGCAGCTCCGTTTGCCGCTCTATCTCCTGCATCTCAGCCTCGATCCTCTGCTCCTCCGCGTCGCGCTGAGCTTTCTCCTGTAGGGCGCGCAGCGAGCGGGGCGCACCAGAGATCCGGGGACGGGGCGAGGAAGGAGGGCACGATGGGGCCAGGATAGTTGGGTTCAGGAGGCAGAGCAAAAGGACGACGGGGGGAGATCCTGTGCCTCGCGCATCTCGGCTTCGGCAGCTGGGATGGTCGAGGGCGTCGCAGGCGAAGACGTGTCCCACATGCCTGGGCCAGGCAGTTGGGCGCTGTGGCCTAGCTCTGCCTCATTTCCGAGCGGCGGCAAGGGCTGTCCTGCGCCTGCGGCGCCTGCGACTGACTCGAGCTGCGTGGCGCCAGGATCGGGCTGCTCGACAGGCCGCGAATCGCCGACCACGATGCACGGCGCCTCGGCGCCAGTCTCCTCAGCGGGCGTCGGCTCATGTTTTTGTTTGTTTCTGCGCTCCCCGCCTCCATTCTGTGGGTGGGCTTTCGTGGCCCTGTGTGTGTGTGTTTTGTTTATGCGCTCCCCGCCTCCCTTCTGTGAGTGGGTTTCCGTGTTAGCTCCTGCTTTGGCTTGTACCATGCTGGGGGCCCAGAGTCACCACTCGCGCAGTCGAGCACAGAGACGCCGTACGCCCCACTCCGAATGGAGGGACGATTGGCAGCGTGCGCCATGCTGCGCCGCGTGCTACTGACGGATCAACCGAACACGAACACAAACAAAAAGATAAACCCTTGAACCCATGCAGCGAACGGGCAGCAGTGTCAGAGGGGATGGTGGGAAGGGACAGGGAGTGGGGAGGAGATGAGCGGGAAGGGATGTGAGAGGGATGGCCAAGGGCGGATATGCACTAGGCGGGATGAGCGGGAGGGGAAGGACGGTGTCGCGTCATTGAGATTCGCTGCAATCACTTCGATTAATCGATGGCTCACCTCAGGGGGGTCAGCTCACCCCGTCCCATTCAGGGTGTGATATCAGCATGGCATACGACAGCAGTTCACGACGTATACGCATACGTATACTCACCTCACACGCTCACCTCAGGGGTTCACCTCACCTCGAATATTCACCTCACGGGGGCACCTCAACTCATTCATGATCATCGTTTGTTTCAGCGCTTACGACGAACTATATTATCGGGCTCTAGGGCATTCTCACAACATCTGCTGTCAGCGATGGTGGTAAACGTTGTTTGTTTTTTGACGTCAAAACTGCATCCAAAAATAAGTTGTTGTGTGCAGGTTCGCCTCACACGGTGCAGGTCCAACCTGTCACCAGTACATCAAGTATTAACGTCAAAATCTGCGACGTGCATCCTTAATCGGATACGCGAGACACATCGCGCGCACGACTCTTTAAAACCAACAGAGGGGGATGGGCGGGGATTAGGGGACGGGGGGAGGAGGGTGAGGTCGATAGCTCTCATGTTCGAGCTCCAGGCCTGAACCCCAAACAGGCGCCAGCGGCGGGCTTGGGTGCATGTAAGAATGTAGGGCGAGTGCCAGGGCCCCGCGAGGGTTGCAGGATGCAAGGGTGCGAGCATGCAGGATGAGGGGCCGCGAGGGTTGCAAGGATGCAAGGTTGCATGACGGGCCGACGGTGGCTCGGCCCAGGCGCCCAGGGGAACCGCTGTTTTCAACAGCGCGCTGATAAATATTGTCGTCCTCCCCCTGCCTATTGCCCGCCTAACACAGCGCCAAGTTCGTCAGGTCGGCGGCGGAGGGATCGGGGACCAACAGCTGGAGTCCTCGGGGGGCGGGCTCAGGGTTTAAAACGGTTCTCGGGAGCTCTCAGGGGGGGTGGAAGTTGGAAAGCATGGGAAAGAGGAGAAGGAGGAGGAGGAGGAGGAGGAGGAGGAGGAGGAGGAGGGGAGGAGGAGGAGGAGGAGGATGGGGAGTAGGATGGGAGGAGTAAGATTAGCCTCGAGGAGGATTGAGGCAGGGTGTTTTGGTGGTCAGACCGTCGGTCCAGCGAGCTCTGGATGGGGGAGCTGTTTCCTGCGCGCCTCGGCCTCTTGGGGGTCATGAATGGGCTCGTTGCTGGACGCTTGCCGATCGGAGGCTCATCCTCTGGGGTATCTTCGGGTTCAACAGCTGCTGGCCGCCGAAGTACTGCTGGGAGATCATTTGTTTAGATCATCCCCGTCATCCCCTTCACTCCCGTCTGCTCATCCTTGGGCCCTCCCTCGATCCTGGGGCGGCCGCAGCACGACTTGGCACTCCCATCAGCTGCGTCGTCGCCGTCCTCCTCCTCCTCCTCCTCCTCCTCCTCCTCCTTCCTCCTCCCTCCTACCTCTCCCTCCTCTCCCTAGTCCTCCTCCTCCTCCTCCCCCCCTCCTTCTCCTCCTCCTCCTCCTCCGCCCCTTCTCCTCCTCCTCCTCCTCCTTCCTTCCTCCTCCTCTCCTCCTCCTTCCTCCTCCTCCTCCTCCTCCTCCTCCCCCCATCCCCCCCTCCTTCTCCTCCTCCTCCTCCCTCATTGCTCCTCCTCCTCCTCCTCCTCCTCCTCCTCCTCCTCCTCCTCCTCCTCCTCCTCCCCCCCACCCCCCACTCCAGTGGGCCTCAAAGGCCAGGCAATCATCTCCCCTCTGCTCCTCCCCAGGCCATCCCCCGATCCTGGATCAGCACCCCTGTCCGCAGCAAGTTTCTGCATCACTGCCGATGTCGATGCCGCTGGCCTCCTCATCCTGCGGGGTACCCGGGAGCGAGCGCGCGCTAGGCTGATGGGGAAGAGACAAAGCAAGGCGAGATGGAGGGAGGGAAGTGGCGAGGCTTAGGGCAGGCATCCAGCTCGAGGGGCAACGACGACGACGACGACGACGACGACGACGACGACGACGACGACGACGACGACGACGACGACGACAACGACGAAATCATCGGGGAGGGACGCGGCGAGATCATCGTGCATGAGGCGGCAGCAGTCCTTATGGTCGTATCGGGTCGCGCATCCAGTATCTCTTTCTTGCATTTCTCGACGTCCTCCTTGCTGCAGCCTGTGGGCGGAATGCAAGTCGGACGGCGGCATGGCTGAGGGGGGAGACGAGGACGGCCCTGAGTACGCTGCTCGTCGGAGAGAGTCGAGGGGAGGGTGTCGAGACAAAGCTCAAATGCGATTTCGGCGCGCTCTGCTGTCTGGCCCCAGCCCCCATCCCCCGCCGCAGGCCTTTCTCGAAATAGAGAATCGCTTGCTGCTTCATCCAGTTCAGCGCGTCCTTGTAGTTATCGTCAAATAAGCTGAGTTGCATGGTGACCACCTGGGCATCGGGCGAGGGGGTGTCGGATCCTCCGTCCGCCTCCTCCTCCTCCTCCTCTCCTCCTCCTCGCCCTCCCCCCCCTCCTCCTCCCCCTCCTCCTCCTCCTCCTTCTCCTCCTCCTCCTCCTCCTCGCTCTCGATCCTCCTCCTCCTCCTCCTCCTCCTCCTCCTCCTCCTTCTCCTCCTGGTCCTCCTCCTCTTCTTCCTCCTCCTCCTCGTCCTCCTCCTCCTCCTCCTCCACCTCCATCTTCTCTCCTCCCTCATATCCCCTCCTCCTCCCGCTCTCCTGCCTCCTCCCTCCTCCCCCCATCCTCCGCCCAACCGTCGCGCCCGTTCCGCTTCTGGCCCGGGGACCCAATCCACGTCTGTGTCGCTGCGAAGGTCCCTCATCTGCAGGAATTGCTTGCCCCGTTCGCTCTTGCCGTAGACTTTCCCATCGCCCTTGTAGTTGTATACGCAGCCCGTTTTGAATGTGTCGTCGTCGTCGTCGTTGCCGTTGGTCTTGGCCTTGGCCTTTGCTTTCGCTTTCCCCTTGGACTTTGCTTTCCCCTTGGGCGTGGCTTTCCCCAGGCCCTTGAGATCCACGCACAAAATCTGATCAACAGTATGACTCCAGCCGTCGCTCCATATTGCGTTAATGGGGTCCGTGTCATCTGCCCCCTCGGGGCGAACCATTTTCTGGCAGTATTCGCGGGTATCGGTTTTTTTTGGAGCTACTTGAGTGCGCCAGGCCAGCGCCATCTCTGTGTCGAACCCCACGGTGTACTCGACGGCGTTCTGGGGAGGAGCTGTCTTATAAACGATCGAGAAGGCGGAGGAGGAGGGGGAGATGGAGGAGGAGGGGGATGAGGAGGAGAAGGAGGAGGATGAGGCGGAGGAGGAGGAGGAGGAGGCGGAGGAGGAGGAGGAGGAGGAGGAGCAGAGGGGGGGAGGCAGAACGGCCACGAAAAGTCGGCCCACCACTCGTCCCAG